AAATTTTCACCAAAAAAAAGCCACCTGCCCCCCCCAGCCCCCACGTGTGGGAGTGACTTACACCATGGCCATGGCACTGCTCTTCACTGTCACAGTCAGATCCCAGTACAGAGAGTGGTTGACAAGTGTTGTTTATACACACCTAGGGAAAACCCCAGCAGTTCCAGTTCAGAATTCACAGCACTCAGCCCATCAGTCTTACATCCCAAACAGGAGTGAAAATGCTCTGCTTTTAGGAAAACATTAACAGTGTTCTTCAAATCTATAGTTCCTGCCTTAGGGTTGGGTTACACCTGACACTCTAATTGTGCCAAACCTTTTGTGTCATGTTTGCTTGTTTTTACAGTGTTTGTAAATATCAAGCACACTTATACTGCAAACGAGCAAGTAGTTCTAGAGCCCTGGTTAGTATTTACAATACACATCTGGCATTACAGATGATTGTAAAATGTTTCCTCACCTTCTCAGAGCCACACTTTGTACCTGGTGGGACCAGAAGAGGATCCAGCCTTGCTGGTGTGTTCAAATAATTCAAAGATACACATACGTCCTTGTGCACTCGGACATAGAGAGCAGCAGCAACATCTGATGGAAACGGAGTGCTGTACGGGTACGTGCAGATTAACTTCCCACATCTCAGATGCCTACAAAATCAATTTGCATGGGATGTGCTGCTACCTGATGAAACACCAGAAACATTAAACTGCACAACACAAATCTGGAGCACTGCACAGTAAGAAACATTAACAGGACTGGGAAGTTCTAGAAATGGTCTGTGACTTACGGAGAGACACTATCCTGCTAAGAGGAGAACACACACATAATTCTATTTATTGTTTCACAAATCTCACTGTCACCTGGAGTCTTGATGCTTTCTCTGATGGTACAGCCCCAATTAAATATGCATTTTTAGTGGATCAAGAGCCCTTTCCCTAGAGCATACCTCCAAGCACAGGACTTAAAGCCTTGTCTGGGCTGGAACCCGCAGTGTCCAAATCTGTCCCCATGACTATTGAGTTCCTCGTAACAAGCCACAGGAGCGCTTTTTGAATCTACAAGTTTAGCAACAATATTCATTATAATTTAAAGGAAAATAAAGGGACATATCATGGTATTTAATAATGTCTTAATTTTTCATCCTGTTCACAGCAGAACATCTTCACTAATTACAGAAAATACCTGCCCCTGAACTGCCAAACCCTCAGCAGTCCTGAGTGTCAGAAGCAAGTTACCAACCAACCACAAACCCTCGTGTCCTCCAAAACCAGGCTAGAAACACACAACAAGACCAACCTGAGATTGGTGCCTTAATGAGAAAAGACATCTGTGGCCAGCTCCCAGGTGCTGGCCAGGACCAGCAGCACCAGCACAACCAGAGCATCCCGGTACCTTTCCCATAGAGCTGCCGGCACTGCAGGTCTGGAGAGCGGCAGCGTCCCTGGTAGCAGTACCCGCTGCTGTGCTCGCAGTTGTGCCCGTCCTGCACGTACAGGTCGGGGGGGCAGGACGCCGAGGAGCCGTTGCAGAACTCGGGCAGGTCACAGTGCAGGTCGGCCGCGGGGCGGCACAGGGCGTTCTTGGGCTTGAACTGGCAGAGGAGGCAGAGAGGGCTCTTTCTTCCCCCAGCCCTGCACACCCACCAGCCCCACACAGCCCCTCCTGACACTGTCCTGACACGTCCCTGGTCCCTCGGGACCCCCTCTGTGGCACTCAGCTCACCACACACATTACACCACCCAACACAGTCTTCCCAAGAAATATTCTTCCCAGGGGTTTCAGAGCTGGAAAGCCCAACCCCGGGAACCTTTCTGATTGCACAGCAGGAAGTTTCTCTCCACCCCTCAGCATGGGGACATACTATTTCTCCAAAACCAAACCATGATCTTGTTTGTGCCAATTACAAAAACGTGCCTTACCTGACATTCATTACAGAGGAGACAAAATGCAGCACAAAGTTTTTTTGTAGATGCCCGTACAAGCAAAACCAGAGAGCTGGTTCACAGTGCTGCTGGAGAAACTGCTCCTGCCCCAAGGTTTAAAAATGGCCTTAACTTCTGCTAATTATGAACCCACCTTACCTGGCAATTTGCACAACATAATCCCACGGTGCAATTCACTCCTTCTCTGAAGGTACACTGGGGAGTGCAGCATTTGTCCAACGCACAGGCCTGCAAACACAGCACAAATCATGATTTGATGCCATTTTTCTCATCTGCAGGAGGGCTGCTGCCCTCAGCCCTGTCCTGCCAACAACCAGCCTGCTGCGGAGGGGCTGGGGCAGCAGCGATACCGCGGCGATGGGTCGGGCAGCGCCGGGGCCGGGC